TGATGATGATGATGATGATGATGATGATGATGATGATGATGATGATGTATAATAATGTATTATGGTGATGATGTTGATGATGATGATGATGTTGTATGTATGATGATGATGATGTGTGTACTGTACGAGTATGTATAATGATGATGATGAAGATGATGACAAAACACTGCGCCTGCCACGAAAAGCTCTTTCCCGTACTGCAGTTGCACTACAAACTGGCCACTTCTGAGCCCAGCTCCGAAAAGCTCTTTCCCGTACTAAATTTGTACTACAAACTGGCCACGTCTGAGTCCAGCTCCGAAAAGCTCTTTCCCGTACTACATTTGTACTACAAACTGGCCACTTCTGAGTCCAGCTCCAAAAGTGAAGCGCCAAGTCTCCAAAACGGCGTTTCGTACAAGACTTCCTCCAAAAGTGAAGCGCCAAGTCTCCAAAACGAGCGCTTCGTACCATACTTCCTCCAAAAGTCACGCGTCAAAGTCACCAAAGTGAGCATTTCGTACGAGACTTCCTCCAAAAGTCAAGCGCCAAGTCTCCAAAACGAGCGTTTCGTACGAGACTTCCTCCAAAAGTCACGCGCCCAAGCCTCCAAAACGAGCGCTTCGTACGAGACTTCCTCGAGCGTTTCGTGCGAGACTTCCTCCATAAGTCACGCGTCGACGCGCACCATCCGGGCAGAGGGTTGCTCGGGTACAAACGCGATCGACGTTTTACCACACGTTTGAGCGCTCGACACGCACGATCCTCGCAGAGGGTCACCTGCGCCCGTCAAAAATCGCATTTCACAACACGTTTGAGCGCTCGACGCGCACGACCCCCGCAGAGGGTCGCTCCAGGTCAAAAATGCGATCGACGTTTCACCACACGTTTGAGCACTCGACACGCACGATCCTCGCAGAGGGTCACCCACGCACAAACCAAATTCGCATTTCACCACACGTTTGAGCACTCGACACGCACGATCCCCGCAGAGGGTCACCCGCGCCCACTCAAAATTCGCATTTCACCGAACGTTTGAGCACTCCACACGCACGATCCCCGCAGAGGGTCGCTCCAGGTCAAACACGATCGACGTTTAACCACATTTTTGAGCGCTCGACACGCACGATCCCCGCAGAGGGTCGCTCGGGGTCAAACGCGATCGACGTTTCACCACACGTTTGAGCACTCGACACGAACGATCCTTGCAGAGGGTCACGTTTCGTGAGCTCCAGCCGGACCTGCCCACCGCCTTAAGAGTAGAAAGAAACTGAAAAGAAGTGTTAGAAGAAGTTTTTTCGATGATGATGACGATGACAATGATGGTGATGATGATGACGATGATGATGATGATGACAAAACACTGCGCCTGCCACGGCAAGCTCTTTCCCGCACTGCAGTTGCACTACAAACTGGCCACTTCTGATTCTGAGTCCAGCTCCGAAAAGCTCTTTCCCGTACTACATTTGCACTACAAACTGGCCATTTCTCACTCCAAAAGTGAAGCGCCAAGTCTCCAAAACGAGCGTTGCGTACGAGACTTCCTCCTAAAGTCACGCGTCAAAGTCTCCAAAGCGAGCGCTTCGTGCGAGACTTCCTCCAAAAGTGAGGCGCCAAGTCTCCAAATTACCACTTCACCACACTTTGGAGCACTCGACACGCACAGTCGCCGCAGAGGGTCGCACCACACGTTTGAGCGCTCGACGCGCACGATCCTCGCAGAGGGTCACCCGCGCCCACTCAAAATTCGCAGAGCACTCGACACGCACGATCCTCCCAGAGGGTCACCCGCGCCCACGCAAAATTCGCATTTCACCACACGTTTGAGCGCTCGACAGGCACGATCCCTGCAGAGGGTCACTCCGGGTCAATCGCGATCGACGTTTCACCACACGTTTGGGCGCTCCACGCGCACGATCCTCGCAGAGGGTCACGTTTCGGGAGCTCTGGCCGGACCTGCCCGCCGCCTTAAGAGTAGAAAGAAACTTTTATAGATGTGTTTTTCGTAGGTGAGATTTAGTATGTGTTTTTAGTCGTTTTTTTCAACACCTACATATCTACACCTGTATCTCTACACCTGCAAAAGCCACATCTTTAAAACCTTGCAAAACCCACATGTTATGTCATGATGTATGATGTATGATGTCTGATGATGATGATGACGATGATGATGACGATGATGATGACGATGATGATGATGATGATGATGATGTGATAGTAGCGATGATGATAAAGATTATGTTGGAAGATGATGTGAGCAATTGTCCTTTGGAAGAAACCCTTCGCAGGCGCTTTCGGGTAAAATCCGAGCAAAGATGCTTTTGGGAAGGAAAATATGGGAAGGCAGGGACACGCAAATGTTTGGACAATAACTCTGGAAAAGAGGCCAATGCCGTCTGTGGCAGGCTTACAAGGTTGTTCAATTCTATTGGGCAATTTCAATTGCGTTGACTTTTTGGGGCTGTCTCCAGAAGACTATTAAGTAGAAAACTACCCACAACAAATCGATGGGTGGTTTTTTGTTCTACTTACAGTAGTGGGGTTTTCTGCGCATGATGCGTATGAAATGGACCCCCAAGCATCAAAAAACCTTGCAGCAGTCGTACAGCGTGCACAAATGCATGCACAAATGCGCGCAGCGCGCAGAACTTGACCGCTTTTGATCAAACTTGTTGCTGTTCCTTGTTATTAAGAACAGCAAGCTCTCCGTTTACCGGTCAAACTTGACAACCTGTTGTTCACGATCGTTTACTCTCTGTTCTTCCCTTCGTTTAGGTCCCACAACTCTCTCTCTCTCTCTCTTCTCTCTCTCTCTCTCTCTCTCTCTCTCTCTCTCTGTGGCGAATCTCCTTCGTATTGGATTCGAAGTTTCTTGTAGAAGCTCATCGCGCCGGTCGGCGTGTACCGGCCCGCGTAGTCCAGGCCCCGAACGGCATTCTGCGTTAAGCCACAGTCGATGTTGAAGTCCAGCTTGGCGTAATTCATGAACTCCTGGAGTTTTATAGATTACGACCCCATGGTATCAGGTTTGGGTTGTTCTCGTTGTTTTCGCTGTGTGTATGAATAATGTTGATAGGCTTCCAGACTATGAATCGTTCAAAGAAGATCAAAGAAGTATGAACTCCTTGCAATAGCCATAGACCTCCCAATCACGCTGCCCCACGCTCGTGACAGAGTTCGCACAAACCTCATCGAAGACTGCCCGCGTCGCCGTTTCAAGGCGCGTCTTGTTGCTGCCACCTAGGTCGCTAAGCTTCTCTAAAACATTCTGCCACTGACCTGCTGTTCCCGAAGAGATGGGTCGGTTCATGAATTGGTAGAGCATTGCAGGGGTCATCGTGAAACGTGTGTTTAGCTCTGTCGGGAGAGAGTATAGAGAGCTACCAGATGTCGCACCATCTGCTTCCGCCTTCACCTTCGCAACAACCTTCATGAAGAACTCCACTGGGTCAAAACCATCCATGTTGCAGAGTTCTTGAATCTTGTCTTTGTGGAGTTCCGTCTTGTCATAGCGTGCGTTCCAGCACATTTGCACGAGCTTTGTCAGGCCTTGGCGGGAGGCCAAAGCCGTGTACTCATAGTAGTCACTCACATCATGACCAGGCACCACGTTTCCATTGAGAATCAACTTGTCGACACTCTTTGGAAAAGCTCCAGCATAGGCAGCTCCCACCGCTGTGCCATAGCTCAGACCATTGATGCTAAGCGTCTTTGCACCTAAAGCCTCGCGAAGGCGGTCAAGATCCATTGCAAGCATCTGGGTACCAACGTAGTCCAGGAAGTTGTAGGTGTAATCCTTGCCACCGCTCGAAACCTTCATTTCCCAGTAAGGTGAATTGTAGCAGTTTCGGTTCCTGGAAGCTGTAAATTCGAACCACTTCATCATCTCAGCCTCGTCCTCCGGATCTGGAAACGGACTTGGTACCTCCACACCCTCCTGCGAAAGCAGCGATTTGGGACGATCGTCCGGCGGCCGACCGAGCCCATCGTCCGGCGGTCTCCATTTCAAACGACTGGGCTTGTCCTCCCCACAGTGGAATGAAAAAGCCACGGACCCCCAGTTCTGTGGAAAAGGGTGCAAATCCTGAACCCGAATGAATGTGACTCCCAGTTCCTGGGTTGTCCCTCCTTTCCCCTTCCTTCACACCCAAACAACGCGACCATGGGTTGCTCTCCTCTGGCAGGTTACACTCGCAAGAGGTGAAGTCGCGAAGGTCGTAATGCGACTTGCCGGGCGCAGGAGTCAAGTCTTTGCCGTCGCACACTTTCAGAAACTCCTTGCTCTTCACTGGCAACGGTTCAAACCGACCATTGCCGATGCCCGCATAACTGGACATGCCGCGCTGTTGGATGCCAATAACGGTGTACGCCTTGACCATGGCGGATGTTGGTGATGTATTGTAGAGATCAGGTTTTTTGCTCAGCACTCCATAAAGAACATCCAGGTCATCCGAGACAGGACCGCCGTTGTGCTGAAGGATCAGCGGGGCGTGAGGTCCTGCAGGTCCAATCAAGGCAGACACTCGCAAAGATAGGGTGATCTCATGTGAAGGCTTCGTGTTGTCATAGTCTAAAGGCACCGTCAAGTAGCCGAATTTGAGCGTCCAAAAGTCGTCTTCTGTCACAGGCGTTGCATCGTGCTTGTGGTGTTCAATGATGCCATCCTTCTCCTCTTTGCTGCATAGAGCACGCCACAAACACAGTGGTTCACCCGGATCAAGCTTCACAGTCAATTTCAAAAAATAGCCCGTGTAGTGCCATTGGAGCTTTTCCGGGTCAGGTTCTAACACGCTCCAGGTGCTTCCACTGGCATCCTCCAAGCTCACCGCATCATGGACGATCTCTCTCACAGCACCATCGCTGTCACACTTCACGGTGCACATGACCCCCTTCGCGGTGACCTTCGGGTTCTTTGCGCAAAAGGCTTCGATCCCAGCCCCATCTTGGCAATCAAAGGCGGGATCCAGGGACTCCTGGACCTCACAAGCTTCAAAAACTTGGATCACGTGGTCCAAGAACACGATGTCTGTTACACAGAACAACACGTTGTCTTCTTTGCTGGTTCGGAACGAACAACACGGGGCTCTGGTGGGAACCGGAACGAACAACCGCCTTTTCATAATCAGAACAACACGTTGAGGGAATACACAAAACCGCCAAAAACATGAATCGCCTTGTGTTGCAACATGCAGGTTGCATCTCCATGGCCCTCAGCCCTGGCGACCAACCATTGCACTAAGCACACCCAGTGGATCCAGGTAGAGGCCCTCATGGCAACACTCCGCGGTCACCGGCAGCCACCGGTCACGCGTACAAAGCCGGTCCCGTTTGAACCACGAACCCGCTCAAGCGCTGCAGCGAGCGGAAAATTCCCAGATCCGACGGGCGTCTGACAGCAACGCGCATGAACAAAGACCCGATGGAGTGATGCGAAAGGAACCTGCCAGGTTTGTTATTGCGAAAGGGGCCTTCCATTGTGGAATGATGTGAAAGGAACCTTCTTGTGAGTCCACATTTCCAGGTTTGTTGTGAGTCAAGCCTCACGAGACCTTTAGTTTCTTGGACCCAGCCTCCGTTTTGTGTGAGCCGAGTGCATCCGTTTTGTCTGCTTGGTTGGTTCGCTGTTTTTTCTTATTTGCCTTTTTGGAATTTTGGGGCTGTTGATCAAAGGAAGTTTAGTGTACGAAACTTCCGTGTTACGGACATTCAAGAACTGTTCATACAGCACTCATCCTACACCACTCATCAATACACCACTCATCATACACCACCACTCATCATACTCATCATACACCACTCATCAGACACCACTCATCATACACCACTCATTAGACACCACTCATCATACACCACTCATCATAGACCACTCATTAGACACCACTCATCCTACCTTCATGCGCAGATTGCGTGGCAGGCGCAGCACTTTGTGAACCTCCATGCGCAGATTTCGTGGCAGGCGCAGCACGTTGTGAACCTCCATGCGCAGATTTCGTGGCAGGCACAGCACTGTGTGAACCTCCATGCGCAGATTTCGTAGCAGGCACTTTGTGAACCTCCACGTGCAGATTTCGTGCCAGGCACAGCGCTTTGTGAACCTCCATGTGCAGATTTCGTGGCAGGCACAGCACTTTGCGAACCTGCACGCGCAGATTTCGTGGCAGGCACAGCATCTGTGGAGCTGGAAGCTGAGAAGTGGCGACTTTGTAGTACGACTTTAGTACGCGGAGTATCTGCGCAGCTGGAAGATGAGAACTGGCGACCCCTGTAGTACAACTTCAGTACGCGGAGCAATCTGTGGAGCTGCAAGCTGAGAACTGGCGACTTGTAGTACAACTTTAGTACGCGGAGTATCTGGGGAGCTGGAAGATGAGAACTGGCGACTTTCTAGTACAACTTTAGTACGCGGAGCAATCTGTGGAGCTGGAAGCTGAGAAGTGGCGACTTTGTAGTACAACTTTAGTACGGGGAGCAATCTGGGGAGCTGGAAGCTGAGAACTGGCGACTTTGTAGTACGACTTTAGTACGTGGAGTATCTGGGAGCTGGAAGATGAGAACTGGCGAAGTTGTAGTACAACTTTAGTACGCGGAGTATGTGGGGAGCTGGAAGATGAGAACTGGCGACTTTGTAGTGCAACTTTAGTACGCGGAATATCTGGGAGCTGGAAGATGAGAACTGGCGACTTTGTAGTACAACTTTAGTACGCGGAGCAATCTGGGGAGCTGGAAGCTGAGAACTGGCGACTTTGTAGTACAACTTTAGTACGCGGAGCAATCTGCCGAGCTGGAAGCTGAGAACTGGCGACTTTAGTACGTGGAGTATCTGGGAGCTGGAAGATGAGAACTGGCGACTTTGTAGTACAACTTTAGTACGCGGAGTATCTGGGGAGCTGGAAGATGAGAACTGGCGACTTTGTAGTACGACTTTAGTACGCGGAGATCTGGGGAGCTGGAAGATGAGAACTGGCGACTTTGTAGTACAACTTTAGTACGCGGAGCAATCTGGGGAGCTGGAAGCTGAGAACTGGCGACTTACAACTTTAGTACGCGGAGTATCTGTGAAGCTGCAAGCTGAGAACTGGCGACTTTGTAGTGCAACTCTAGTACGCGGAGCAAGCCGTGGAGCTGGAAGCTGAGAACTGACGACTTTGTAGTACAACTTTAGTACGCGGCTGAGTCATTTCTATTCTGTATTTTGCAAAAATGCATGAACAACGTTTTTCCCTGCGAGACAGTTGACGGCGGTTGCTTCGCTTTCGCTCCATTGGTCGGTTCCAACTTGTTTTGTCAAAGAACATCGCAGCTCGGCGAATCAGCCTGCCACATGCCCATTTCCTATAGGCTTATTCTTTTGGAAACTTCCGCCGCCGGCTTGCCCGGGAACTACTTGTATTTTTATGGTTGGCAGGTTGTCGAGGACGCTCACCTGTCCAGTGTACAGCATGGTAAACATTGCTAAACCAGAGCTCCAGCCATCGAAACAAAACAGGCCCCTTCTAGACGAACTGCACCAGAGGTGCAGAATCCGGCGACCTACGCATCGTCCAAAAGCATGGAAGCAACGTCCGCCCAAGAACTTGCAACGGTTGCAAGAGATTTATACTCAGGACCCCACCCCGGCCCTCCCCCAAATCAAGAACCGGGTGCTTCATCAAAATCTGAAGCCTCCCCAAAGCCCCCCAAACAGATTGTACAAGCATAGACCCCAAGCAGCTTCAAAACGATTCGCTTAGACCAATATTCATCAAAAATCGATTTCTTGGTACGCCCTACCTTCACGCCAAGAGCAAACTGCTTCATCAATGAATTTTCGTCGGCATTGACATCGCTATTTGTTCGGCCTCACTCCGCTCCAGTAAACCGGGCCACAGAGACCAGCCACAGAGTTCAGGGGCGCGGCCAAGACAAGGACAAGAGGAGGACAAGACCCGGACACAGAGCCCAGCCACAGAGTTCAGGGGCGCGGCCAAGACAAGGACAAGAAGAGGACAAGGCCCAGAGGACAAGGCCCACACAGAGGACAAGAGGAGGACAAGGCCTGGACACAGAGCCCAGCCAC